GGGCTCCCGGAGCGCTCGCCCCGCTCGGACTTGTTGCTGGGTGCGAGTGAGCGCGCGTTTGTGAGGTGCGTGCGTGAGTGAGCGTGTGCGCGCGTGTACCCGTGAGTGGGAGTCGGTGACACGCTGCCCTGCTCCAGGCCCACCCTGACAGGTCCTGCCGCCCCTCGCGGAGTCCTGCCCTGGCCCCGGCCCGACTCCCCGTCCCCGTCCGCACGCGGCCCGGCCCCCCAATGGTCGTCCCGCCCCGGGACCCGGGGCTCCTGTGTCGGAAAGCGCCGGGCTGGGAGACCCCGCGAGGAGCGGGAGGTTGGGCTTAGAGTGGAGACGGCAGGTGAGGCGGAGGAAATGGGAAGAGTTCAAGGGAAGCGCGAGCAGCCAGAGGCCAGGCCTCTGAACGGAACCGAATTAGGTTTCTAGAAGCAGTTCCTCGTCCAGCTTGGCCATGTCCTGCGTTTCTTGCACACACATTTACAAGATAGGCTCTGACTGTAATGTAACTTGAGAAAGGTGATTACAGCCAATTAAAGTGGAGCTCTTCTTAGTGGAAAAAGGCATTTATTTAGGTGTGAGTCTACAGTTAGCAGCTGACCGAATCTGTATCCTTAACTTGCTACTCTCCTTGGGCATCTTTTACATTAAAGAGGAAAACAAAATCTTTTAATGTGAATTGTTGGTGCAGGCGCGCTTCAGCCCAATGAAGAGGTCTGCTGCGCTTTAAGCTGTTCGGGTTTATTTAGATTTCTTTGTCTAGTACTTACTTTCTTTCTTTCCTTTTCCTTTTCCTTTCCGTTCTTTTTTTTGCAGTGTTTTCTCTGGCTCTGTCTCTTTTGGTTCTCAGGAACCTCCTCTCTTTGTATTCCTTTCTGTCTGGCCTTTCTATGATGCAAGAATTTCTTCTGCTTTGACATGTCTTTTATTATTTAATACTTTTCAGTTTATGATGGATCAGTCAAAACTGGTTTTTCCCCACCCCAGTAACAGGTGTGAGTCTTTGAGGAATCTGTTTCATCTCAAGCCTCAGAAACCGCCCTGTGAATGGCAGGCTTAAGGATTTTTAGTTTTAGCTGGTGCTATTTCTAGTTAGGAAAGGCTCTTGTTCTTTTTCCCTACCTTTGTGCACTGGGCGTGTGTGTGTGTGCGCGTGTGTGTGTGTGCACATGCACACTTGCACGCTGAGTGTCTGAGATTTGAGATTAGATCATAGCAGAAGTATTTCTGTGAGTGTCTTTAGCCTTAAATTTCTACAAGCATGAAAGAGTTGTAGGAGATGGTTGGGTATGGTTTGATTTCTTCTGAAGTTGTTTTCCCTCGGCAGTGCCTTTATTTATGTTGTTGTTTGTGTGTGTGGTAGGTGGCCCAGGCAGCTCGTGTCCTCGATTGGCCTCTGTCACTATGGTGGGAGGATTGACTGCTGCTGGGGCTGGGCTCGCCGCTCCTGGGGACAGTGTCAACGTGAGTATCAGCCCTTGGACCCCGGTTCCTGGGAGGGGGTTTCCACCTGGGCCACGGGGTCACACATCAGACGCCAACCTCATCCTCACCGGGCAGGGCTTGGTGTGCAGATCTGTTTCGGGCGGGTGCTCAGAGTGCCGGGGCTCACCTGAGCCACCCTCTGTCCTTCACAGAGAGCCTCAGGACTCCGGCTCCCGGGCTCCCACTGTTCTCACCTCTTCCTTTGCTCCAGGCCCTGAGATGGAGTAAGATAACGAGTCTAGACGCTATTTACCCTAAATAAACTTGGAACCTTAGAAACTTGGAACTCCTAAAATCACCACAGCTGTCGTGTAAAGTGGGCCATTTATAAGTTGTTTTTTGAAGAGAGGGTGTATTGACAGTGTTCTTAACGGGCCGCCCAGTATAGGCAGAGAAGACCTTTGGAAAACATCATCTGTAAGCTTTAGAAGCAGTCAAACTCATTTAGTAAGTACCAAACCAGAACAATAGTTCTGGGTTTTTCACATTCAAAATAGACATTATAGAGGTAAAATATCAGAGCTATATGACAAATGTTTGGGAAATTTAGGAAACTTGTTTCCAAATTTTGCCTGGCTCTCAAAATTTTGGACAGCAAATGATCGAATAAATATCCAGGGCATCTTTAGTGAGTTGGGGGCACAGGTGGAGAGATGAAGGGATCCACGCTGGGTTGCGCCCTGGTCTCTTTATCCCTGGGAAAGAAGCAGCTCAGAGGAGCAGGGGAAGGAGTTAAGGCTGAGCTGGCAGAGGAGGAGCCTGCCACAGAGACGGCCGGCGGGTAAACTGAGCCCAGGAAAGTTAAGCTGTCTTCAGCTACCTTGCTCTTTGAGAGTGCTGGTGAGGTTCATCCTCACCTTTGTGAAGGGTGGGTGGTGACAGGCATAGGATGGCTCTGGTTGCGCACACAGGCTGGTGTCTCTGGCAGGTTGGGATGGGACAGTGATGTCTATCTACTCTGTGTAAGCCATGAGCTTGGCCTTCTAACCTACCCGGCCTCTGCTTCTTTGTTAGACATGGGGTCCCTCTAGTTTCTAGTAAGAGAATGAGGCAAAGATGCTGTGTTTCCGCTGCCTGGTCTGTTCCGTAGTGTTTTAAAGGAAAATGGCCAGAAAGGCGAGCCATACCTGGAAGAAATTGGTCTGCTGCCAATTAGATCAGAGGGTCAGGAGTATTTGCATGGCCGGAGGCCAACAGGTATGGAATTTGAGGAACCACCTGCGTAATAACCAAGAGTATCCTTGCCTTGGCCTACTCCGTAAACACCCTCCCACATGAAAAGCAGGGAGTCTCTTTGCAGGAATGGAGATAGCGTCCTCCTCCTTTGCTGCCGTAACCAAATGTTGAAGTGCTGTAGGGTCCTGCAGGCACCAGGCCACACCCAGGACCGGGCTGCATTGGCAGAAAGCCCCGGGCAGCAGCGGGGGCACCTTCCTTTCGAAAGGCAGAGGTTGGGGTGCACAGGCTTCCTGCCAGGTGCCCTGAAAGGAGTCCAAGGGAAACACTCTCTGGGAGGGAGGTTCCTTGACTGTGAAATTCCCCAGGTAGCACCTCTAGGAGCTGCTGTGGTGTTCCGTATCACATAATGAACTCTTCCCTAAGAGGCACTTGCTCGGCAATTCTGAATTGAAATTTATGCAGAGACCTTTTAAAGTTCCAAAGATATTACAGAGTTTTATCATTCAAGAGATTTCCTAGTGTTTGACTTTCCACATAGCTTTCCTATCAGTCACAGGACACTTTTAGTGTGCTTGTACTTTCATTTTGTTTCTAAAAGAAGGCAAAATGGTCAAATATAGGATCTGCTGGTGTTTGTCTCTTACCCCTTGTTATGCCACAGTGATCCGAGAAAACTCTGGCATGGCATGAGGTAATTATTGAAATGGTCGTGTTATAAAAGTGTGTAAAATGATTTTGCACAAATCACAGTTCTTGGCACTGAATCTGTACTGTGTGTGGACTTGGTAAAGTGAAAGGAATGGAAGAGAACATTGCTACTGAGACAGCATTGGAGGAAGGATATGTCTGTGTTATCAGACTGTTCTTGAGCCATGATACTTTTTACACTGATACTGCCAAAATTAAAAGTGGTTCCAAAGTTCTTTGTGTTTCAAGCAGGGGCCAAATGATTTTTGCCATGAACACTGAAGATGGAAAGGTTGTAGATCTGACTTCAGAGACGTGTGTTCCTGGGTGTATCTTTTCCAGAATCTTAGATGGTCCAAATGTCCCCGGTCAGTTCAGAGTTCTGCCTGTCTTTGTTTTGATATAAACAGGTCAAGGAATGTGGGGTCAGAGGTCAGCCCAAAGGGGTAGAACAGTGCTAAAAGAGCTTGTGGGATGAACGGAATATCACCAAACATTCCTGATTGTTTTTCAGAGAGAGTTTATGTAATGAACAAGCCTATCAGGACATATATTCAAGGAAAGTGTCCTGCTATTCTGTAGCAATTAAATGTAGTAATGGATTACCTATAAAAATTCCCAACAGCAGCTAGTAAATTCCATGTGAAAAATAATTCTGGCTTTCTGGCCCCTCCACAATCAGAGCGTTCTTTCTGTGAGAAGCAGGCTCCCTGTTCTATCAAAGAAAGCCTAGTGCTCTTTTCTGCTGAGTGACTCACTTTGGAATTTTCCTTCAAAATAGCACAGCAAAGCACAAACACTGCCCCTCCACGCACAAGCACTGCCTCCCCATGTACAGCACCCCAGTTGCTCATCTAGAAGGGGTGCACACGGGGCACCTTCGTTGTTACTTGTTAGGTCTTACGCCCTTGTCCAGCGACCCTTGGGTGATTTGATGAGGTGGAGCACCTGTGAGAGGTTTGGCTCCATGTTTGGATGTGGAGAACGGAGTGCTGCATCTGCTCTGACTGCTGCCTTCCTTGTGGACATGCATGGAGAGCCCAGCGCTGTGGGACAGGAGAGCTGCCTCGTGCCCCTCTGCTTACTGTGTCTTAACCACAAAGCCACATTCAGCTGGGGGAGCTCCCTCCCTCCCCTGGGAATAAGGAAGAACAGATTCCAGATGCCCAGATGGGCACAGCGTCCAGCCCCACTTCCTGCCTGTATGGCCTGGTGCTCTGTGCCGGTCTTCCTGTCCCGCTCAGAAAGCATGCCCTGTTCTAGAACAGGTGCGTTGAGTTGGCCCGGGTCCTTTGCAGGCCCAGCCTTGACTTCTGTCTCTCCGTTCATTCTTCGTTCTGTGACCTTGACTCATAAATTGATCTCTTGGATAAAGAAAATCCAAAACTCAGTTTTCTATTTGTCTTGGGCTTTACTTTTGTTGACTATCAATGTGACTCTTTGTTTTTTAATTTTAATTTTTCTTAGCACATGTTTGCAGTACCTAATGACTGTATTCCCTGTGGGGAGCGGTTGTTGCACAGAACTCGTATTAATCCTTTTCACTTCCCTGCCTCTTCTCTCCCCTCCTCCTTCCTCCATCTCTTGGTCCCCTTCCGACCTGCAAAACATCTACCTTCCTGCTTCCTATTACCTGTCTTTCACTTTGCTCTTTAACTTACTTATACTGTAGGTTTCTCATTTAAGAGAAACTGTGTTATACTTAAGCTTGTGTGTCCGATTTATTTCATGTAGCATTATGGTCTTCGGGTTCATCCATTTTCTAAAAATGACTCAAGTTTATCCTTCTTTGCGGCAGACTAGTACTCCATCTTATATAAATACCACATTTTTGATCTGTTCATCTGCTGATGGACATACAGGCTGCCTCCAAGATTTAGCTCTTGTGAGTGAGTTGCTATCAACATAGATACACATGGATCACTGTGATATGAAATAGTGTCTTTCACTGTTTGGGGAGGGGAATAGCTCGGGTGAATGAGTTTCTATTTTTAGTTTTTGGAGGCATCTCCATGCTGATTTCCACAGTGGTTGTTCCAGTTTGCATCTTGCAGCTCTTTATTGTCCGGTGAAATTTCCTAATTATGTTCACACACTGATGGTTACATAGGTACAGCACACAGCAGCTTACTGTCTCAGAGATTGTCACAATATATTTTTGGTTTTTGCTTCTATAACTTTCTGCTCCTTAACTTTTCCAGTATCATAGTGGCACATTTCATTTCATTGTATTAATTACTTTTCTCCTCCGACCAAGAGGAGATTTCTGTAATAGGGATTTTTCAGATTTGTATATTCTACTCTGAAAGCTGTGTATGCTATGGAAATAATTCTTACTAACTGCACTAGATAATTCACACCACTTGAGGCCGAGTCCTGGTTTTTGTGTCTGATTACACTAACATTTCTTAACTTACTTCACAAGCAGGTTTTCAACATGCATTACAGCCCCAAACTCCATCCGGGAATGTCCTTAATGGAGCGAAGCATCTGTAGAATCAGGATCCTAGCTTCCTGTCACTTCCTGTATGGTTGTCTTTCTGTGTACTTGGAGATTTGGATGAGTGCATGGCTGAGGATAATAGTGTCTTGTTGAAAACACTTTCTAAGGATGTGAAGAAAAACTCAGAATGCAAGTAGTTCCGGGTTTCAGCAAGACTTTTCAACTTCTGAGTTTCTGGCTGTCAGTGAACAGTTTGTGGTCTCTGTAAATGCTGTGAAGTAGGGTGGTTTGAATCCTTTATCCTTCAGACCAGGAAGAATGTGCCTTGTTATGTTTTGGCCAGATATCTGAGAAGGCAGAAAATGTATACCTACAGATTGACTGCTTTTGTGGTTCTGACTCCCAGTTCCTCTCTGTCTTCCTTACCACTAATAAAGGTTGCAGCCTTACAAATGCCATGGAAGGTGAAAATATCATTTTTTATTAGCTTTAGAAAAGCTTACAGATTAGTGAAACATAGGGAATTGTGAAATAGTATTTATTCAGAAGCAATTTTGCAGTGGTCAAATAATTGTAGTTGGATAGTGTATATTACGGGTTAATTGTGAATTGGAAAGATTAATAAGCAAATTATGGAATTATTTCTGTATCTCAAATGGCAAGAATCTTA